CGTACTATCCTCCTACTACTCTATTAGCGAATATTACATGGTTTATACTTTTCTACTATCATAAAACTCTTCTAAACACGTAATATTTACACAGATTTCCGTCTGCATTGTTTTTGTTAAATAACTACCTCGAAATCGAATGGTAGTAATAATGCAGGCAATAATGATATGTACCGAAATTATAGAATTAGTTTTACGATTTAAAGCTGAGAGTTTACATCAGAGTGTTATCAGATTGCACTGGAGTACATTTCATGGTCTGATGAGAACCTGGGTGGCTCGCACCATTTCCTCCTCGCTACATTCAAGGTCCAGCAAAGAGGAATAGGAAGAGGTAGACCTAAGAAAAAATGGATGGATTGCGTGAAAGAAGATTTGTGTAAGAGGGGAGTGAGCGAAGAAATGGTATATGCTAGAGGAGTATGGAAGGAGAAAACATGTTGCGCCGACCCCAGGTGACTGGGACAAGGGCAGGAGAATGATGATGATTCAAGGTCCAACATATTGTGTTGTCTGTAATTGGCTGTTCCCATATTGTAAAAAGGCATGATTGGTTCACGACACAATTAGCCTCCACTCAACTTAATACCTATACTTCTAGGACATCAAAATCTAAGCTTTCAAGTTAGTCATTACTTCGAAACGGCCGCCCATTTCCAGATGCGCCACTCAACTGTGCAAAAGCTATCGATAAAAGCACATCTCTACGATTCACTTAAAGTCCGCAGTCACGAGTGAGCCTAACGATCGCCTCGGTTCGCAACAAATATTCAAGGAAAAGAATACCCACTTCTAGAACTTTCTACATAAAACCCTTTTTATTGTTCCAGCTAGACAAAAAGGTCAACTGTCCCGTATATTGTGTGGTCTAAAAACTAAAACAACGTATCTTTCCAAAAATCGACATCTATGTTTGCCATATTACGTATGTATATGACGGATGGGGGCACTTGTACATGGTGTTTTTAAAATTAAAACGTTTGCATTGCTAATGCCATTCTTTTCATTAGCAATGCTTTCCATAGTGAGAGTAATTAAGACTCACTTTTCCAATGAATTCCATTTATTGCATTTCAAGTATACAGCGATAACAACAGAGAGCTCCGCCTCGTTCGGCTGCTCGAGTCGGAATGTTTTGTGCGACAATATTGACTCGTGTTTATAGTAGAAAGTGGGGGTAGCTTAGTCACGAATTCCCTTGAATACCGTCTTAAACAGTTGTTGCCATGCGTAGCATTTAGGAAACAGTTAACTTTAATTATTTTTAGTCAACTAAATAGTGGCGTTGTGCCGACATATATATTCTTTGAAAGTGTCAAATGAGGTTTTATATGCCTCATCTGCATCCTCCTATCGTAGGCTCAGTTTGTTGTTATTGCTTACATGGATAGGCGAACTCAGGGCCCATCTGGTTAAGTGGTTATTGGAATCCGTAGACATCAGCAATGTAAGCACGGACTAACTTTAGTCGTAAATTTCTGAAACACTTTTCAAACCGAAGCGCATTTCTGTGTCACAGCATTAATATACAGAGCGGTGGTATCTACACGTGCGGGCTTCTACTTCTTGCTCTTAATCCATTATGTGCGGTCGGCGCAGCATGATCTCAGTGTGCCTAGTGTGAGTTGTTTAACGTTCTCGATAGCGTAAAAGTTAACTCAATTTTTTAGGGATTTCAATCAGTATTCTTTGGGTTACAGTCGTAATTATTTTAAACTTTTTGAGATCACAACTGATTCGTTCAAAGCGAATCGCTAAATCTTCTCCCTTGCGACACATGTTAAGGGCCAGCACAGACGCAGCGCACGGAGAGGTCGTAAAACACAAGCGGAGCGTAGTGCCATAATAAAACGCAGATTTGTTAAGCAACGTCGTACTGTATCAATGTAGTATTTATTTGCTCACTAGTGACACTTGAGGCGGGTGAGCGCGGTATCCTTTGCTCGTAATAAAACGCTTTAACGGTGGCACTACTGTCAGAAAATGTTCAGAGACGTATGTTGGTAGTCCTGCGTGATTCGAATATAAATTCATCTTGTTAGAATATCGAAATATTCTAAGTCGATTTTGTATTTATGTGTATTCATTGAACAGCGACAACGATGCTTATGGCGATTTTGAATTTTAGATAAATTTACTTCTAGTTATACTTTAACTTCAATCCAAACTATCTTCGTGTACAGCCTCCGCCAAACACATATTGAAATTATCCAAAAATAGAACACAGATTCATTCGTGAAGCAGCTGCCCTTGCGTTGATAGATTTTTTTCGGAGGCGTTCAGGCAGCTGTTAGCAAATCCCATGCCTTCTGACTGAGCCTTTGCTCGCCCGGCTGTCCTGGTGAATTCTTTCGGGCCATCCTTCATTCCAAAAAAAAAAAACCAGAATAGTGTAAGCGCCGTAATAGGAAGATGTCCCAGTGCGAAAGTATTTTGTTAGGTACAAAGCACACAAACGATCCTGTAGACCGAATGGTAAACAGTCGACGTCGCCCAAAACACGTCATTACGGATCCTCCCGATCCATTAAGGGTGCTTTTAGGTACCACAAGTACCGGTCACCATCCTCGTCGAACCCGTCGCTTGCGACGAAGGGCTCGACGAGCGAATTAACCCACAGACACAGCCCACTGAGTTTCTCGCCGGATCTTCTCAATGGGTCGCGTTTCCGATCCGGTGGTAGATTCTGCGAAGCACGGCTCTTGCTAGGGCCAGTGTTAGCAACACTCCCGTTTGAGCCCCGTGAGCTCATCTGCACGTTAGGGTGAAATAGCCTCTCAAGGCTAACACATAGGTAAAAAAAAAGGTACCAAGCAGTAGATGGATATAGAAGGCTTTAAAATTCCAAACTCATCAATATCCATACGCTTAACAAAACGTTCTCACATATAAAGCCCAAAATCGAACATCAAAAATAACATTTTCTCATTCAAGTCTGGCGAACCGTTAACGGGCAGTGTCTTCGGTGTGATCGAGACGGCGTCAGGACAAAGGCGTGTCAACAAGGACAGGAATTTAATTCTGCGAGTTATCTATCCGATCAGAGCTTAGGGTTTGGCCAGAAAATCGGCTTTTCGGAATCGATATTTGAGCGATTTGTGATACATTGGTTTTGACCCAAAGTGGAAAATCGGGGACTAGTAACATCTCTAGTGACGTCTCTCGTTTTTACTGGTGGTGGGACCTCTTGTGACTCCGCACGGGTACGTACCACCACCCTGCCTATTTCTGCCGTGAAGCAGTAATGCGTTTTGGTTTGAAGGGTGAGGCAGCGATTGTAACTATACTGAGACCTTAGAACTTATATCTCAAGGTGGGTGGCGCATTTACGTTGTAGATGTCTATGGGCTCCAGTAACCACTCAACACCAGGTGTGCTATGAAGTCGTCCATCCATCTAAGCAATAAAAAAAAGTCTCTCGTTGGGCTTTGAACAGTCCGCCTAAAGAAAGGTTCAATGGTAGCGGTGCAGACAACCGATTTAGTCTTTTGCAGCGGCGGAGTGGTAGTAAGATATGTGTTTTCAGTGTATCGCCTCATCTTAGCCTCTGGTGAGTTCTCATCTCAGGCTTGGCTTATACATCGACAGGGGCTTAGTCGGATCAACTTCAATATACAGTGCCTATCTACACCTGACGTTTAGTGAGAAGCGGAGTGAGTTCCTCTCCCCTAAAAAGGCTAAAGCAATAAAGTTATCGACTTTGATATGTGTTCCAATTTTCAAGGTAATGGGACCTCGAGTTGGAGAATATCAGTTTGAAAAATTCTTTAATATAGACAGAAATATTGATACGGTTTTAGCTTATGGAACTTTGTCAGAAAACCATAACCATATCGAAAAACCATATCTTGTCAGAAAATCGTACCAAAGGCTAGTTCCTTTCCAAATAATTCTTGTTCACCTGATGGTTGTCTGGAAGAGATCACTCTTAGCGATAAGACCGCCAATTGTACTTTTTTGTGTTTAATGTATCGCACTGTTTATTTGTTTTTTGGTGTACCATAAAGAATACTCTCTCTCTCTCAAAGGCTATCTAATTTATTTAATATTAAAAATTTGGAAAAAATATCATAACAAAAAAACTGCTTCAGCTATTTCAATGGAGTAATTGAAGTTCAATTAAAAACATCGAACTGTTGATGCTAATGCCAAATAAAACGCACGTTTAATTACAAAGATAAATATATTATGCGAAAAAAACTCTAAAACCGAATAACCCATCGATATGAAAAGGTTTTTGTTTTTGGAAAAAAGCTACTTGTGTTTCTGGCATCGGTTCTCATGGCCCCCGGCGGGATTACGCGTGACCCAACCACGCGTGGCGCCATTTAGCGTAAAATACCGTTGAAAATATCAATGCTACAGAATCTAGATTAATTCGGTCATCGGGTGGGTCCCTCTGGCTGGATTAATTGTGGTCGCATTGCCAAATTGCATTTCGGTTGAATTAAATTCGGGCGAATCATGTAATCGAGGTAATCCGAAATGGGAGTGATCATAAATTAAACATAATAGGAAAGTTCTCGACGGTTTTGTGGCTTGAGAAACTATTTTGTTTGGCAATTAACTAAATTGCAATGAAATTGTTCGTTTATATGAATCTACGGAGATCTTTTACGATAAGCTACCGTTGTTGATGGATAAAGTCGGTAACACACTACGTTTTGTTAATTTTTTATTAAAGTATCTATTAATTTAGAGTGTTTCTTTGAAATGAAACTTCTTTAGGCGCATGAGGGTAAAATTTTTACAGAACGTCACGCAGGAATGCAGTGGAAGTGACATCAAACTACTATTGAAATTAAGTACTTGTCAAATGTCAGTAGTAGTAGTTGTTGTATTTTTCCAACTGGAAAAGCAAATGTATCATACCATACAGCCTAATATTTTATAATTTTTTTGTGAAAAATATTAATAGGAATTGAAATGAAATGAAAAGAATTTGGAACATTAATCACATTGTTCTTGCTTGTGAATTTTCAGACTGTATTTCCTTTGTGATTTGTTTTCTTAGGTGGTTTGTGATGTCTGCCGTTAAATTACAAATACTATTGAATTCTTTTTGGTTTTAATGTAAAATAATATTGTACATAATATTGCGCGTCTTGTAGCTGTTGAGTCCCGTTCAGAAGTGAAGGTGGTTGTGTGTGTTCGCGCTGCGGAGCTCGCCGGTCCGCCGGTTTGCCGTCCCCTCCCTCGCCGCGCTGCCTGCGTCTTTCCCGACTTTGCGAAGGAGGAGTTGATGCGTAAACATATGGCCCCCGCCTTGGAAGCTCCAGCTTCCAATGAGGTAAATACAGGATGCTGATTACGATATGTGTGTTGTGAGACTCTCGTTGTAGTCCTCTGCATTATGTAAAAGTGGGCAGATTTTTGAGTATGCCCGTTGTATAATCCCAGTCGCCGTTTTGAGGTTAGCTACTCGGGATATGCCGTCTTTGCCAGGAAATGTTTGCTGCACTCGTCCAAGACGCCATTTGAGTGGCGGCAGGTTGTCTTCTTTGATTAGAACCAGGGTGTTCGGTACGATGTCTTTCTTGTCCGTTTTCCATTTAGTTCTCGTCTGCAATTCGGATATGTACTCCTTAGACCACCTCTGCCAAAATTGTTGTCGGATTTGTTCCACTCGATCATAGCGCGTCAGTCGGTGTGATGCCGTCGCCGTGAGGTCGCTGCAGGCTGGTGCGGTCAACGGTCGGCCGATGAGGAAATGACCAGGGCTGAGTGGACGAAGATCGTTTGGATCTGCGGACATTGGGTGTATAGGACGGGAATTCAGGACGGCTTCTATCTGTGCCAATACCGTGCTGAATTCCTCGTACGTTAAGTGTGAATTACCTACAACTCGTCGTAGGTGATGCTTACAAGACTTCACTCCCGCCTCCCACAAACCACCAAAATGAGGCGAATAAGGCGGTATAAAAGACAAATTAATGTTGTCGTTGGCTGCTAGTGAGACAATTTCTTCGGAAATTTGTCAAGAATTGTGAAAAAAGTTTTAGTGTTGTCTGAGAAAATTTGAAATGGTTTCCCACGTCTAGAAATGAACCTTTTAAGTGCAAGTATGTATGCTTGAGTCGCTAATGATGTGACCAAATCCAATTATACCGAGCGAGTGAGAAAACAAACGATTAAAATAATGTAACATTTTTCTAATTTAGCACCTCTTCCTTTGAGGTTGAGTATAAACATTGGCCCCGCGTAATCTACTCCACATCTAAAAAATGGAAAACCTGACCCCGATGGTTCTATTTCAAGTCTGCATTGCTTAATCTGCCTCCAACCTTATGATTTTATCACTTTCCAAAAATATGTTTTAAGAATGATATATTACGCGTAGGTTTCAGAGGTAAGTTGTTTACTAGTGCATCATACATGACGGGGAACGATTGTTGTTGAACCACTCGTGCTAAAACCTTAGTCGCATTGTCTAATTCATCCGTCAAAAGCGCGCCGGACTTCCGCTGTGATTTTGATTTTATACCAATGTTATAAACAAATCTTAACATATACGCAATAGCACGTCGTAATCGATTATATGATGAAAAACGTTCAAATTCAATAAATGACTGTGCGCTTGACTCTCAGACCATTGCCGTCGCGTCAGATTTTAATTCTGGTAGATCATACTGGTCAATGATTCTGGTTGTATGTGTTTTTAATGATCTAGGTGACATACGAAGCCAACCCATAACAATGGTCGAATAAGTCCAAAAATAAATTTTAGAAAACGTCAATCTGAAGGATTGAAAATATTTTAGCGTATAGTCTTGTTGATCGGGTTGTATATTGTTAAGCGACTTACCTGAGCTTGATTTGACATTCGCATCAAATACACCTCGAAGCTTAGTAGTTGTACTGTGTTCTCGTAACACCGTGGTGTGGTAGAAAATAATGTGGCGTTGTGTATTAAAGTAATATAAAGTAATATAATTAAAGTAAGTCTGCTTATGTAGTCATTCATGAAATCGATATGCATTGGCTTATAGTTAGCCGCACTACGTTCCAGCTTGCGCTCGAGTGCATGGAATCGGTTCCCAGCGATAATGAATGTATCGTCGAGCGCGTCAGCTGATTCTTGTAAAGGAATGCGCACGGAAAAACGACCCGAATCGTCGCGTTTTGTTGTGGTTTAGAATAAAGTTTTGCATGCGCGTTCCGTTTTTGTATATTTGTTATGAATTGAATGAATTACTTCTAGCTCCCGAAAGGTTTTTATTTGTGTCTATGTTTTGTGATTTATTATAATGAACTTGATTCGTTGAATTTGAATAGTTCTTATTATAAAATGAACCCGAAATAATCCACCCGAGTTTAGTGTTTTGTAAATACGGACCATGTTTTAAGCGAATTAATCCGTCGTTTAAAAGTTCCCAAAACTTATCCGCACCGATTAATAAATCTATATCAGAGGGTGAATGAAAATCTGGATCAGCTAGCGTGATGTTGTGTGGAATTTGAATGTTGTTGATGTGTGTATGTGTTAACGATGGTATCTGAGCAGTGATACGAGGTAAAACTATACAAGTTAAGCGCGTGTTATAGTTATCAGTTTTAGCTCGCATCTGAATATCGCATGATTGGGTGGCCTGGGTTACGGAGTTACCCACACCTGTGATTTTAATGGAGGACTGTATCAATGGAATGTTTAATTGATTACATAGTGACTGCGAGATAAAGCAATGCTGACTTCCGTTATCGAGAAGTGCACGAAATGTGTGATATTTGTTGTTGTTGTCTGCGATTTCGACTAATGCCGTTGACAACAACACAGTAGGTAGTGTTGGATGTGCTGATGTGGTAATGTCACCGTGATATGTGTGCGAGTGTAGTGAAGCTGTGCCGCCAGTGTGTGGGCTCGACTCAAGCTGCGGTGCCGGCGATGATGATACGGTTGCGCTGGCGTCATCACTATTGTCATCACGGTGAATTAGACTATTGTGTTTTTTATTACACTTCTTACATGGACCAAACCAACAGTCTTTGACTGAATGATTTGCGCGTAAACAATTTTGACAAAGCTTTTTGCTACTTAAAAACTTTATTTTATCTTGTGTAGATAATTTTAGAAACGCATTACATGAATAAAGGCAATGATTTGCATTGCACATGCTACAAGGACGCGATCGCTTATTCGAATTTGAGTGCCTATTTTCGTCGTTTTGTGTGGATAAATAAGAGTAACTGTGTAAGTTTGATGGTTGTATTTTAGTGTTAGTGTCAGGCGCAGGTTTAGTGTGAGATACTTTTATTGTCTCCAACACGTCGGCTTTGTCTCTTAGAAATTTGATTAAATGCGATAATGTTAACTTAGAATTTGACTCTGACTTCTGAATGTCGCTTTTATGAAGTTCCCATTCGCGTTCTGTCGACGTGTCTAATTTAGAAACCATTATGTAAACTATTAAATTATCCCACATGTCAGTACGTTCACCTAAGGTTTTAAGCGCACGAATATTTCTCAAAACACTGTCAATAAGTTTGCGTATAAGCGCAGATGATTCTTTGTTTATAACCTGCATAGAAAACAGCGCCTTGACATGATTATGCACGAGTAAACGATTATTATTATATCTATTTTGCAATAGATCCCACGCAATCACATAGTTTTCGGCAGAAAATTCTAATAATTTTATAACCTGCAGTACGTTACCGGTGAGACTTGAACGTAGGTAATGAAACTTTTGAATGTTATCCATATCAGGTGAATTATGGATTAAAGAACTAAACGTGTCTCTAAATTCAAGCCAATTATCATAATTTCCATCAAAGGAGGGTAAAGAAATGGTGGGTAGTTTTATGCATGATTTCTTTGTGGAGCTCGATTTCTCACTTTTATTATTTAAGNTATCAGGTGAATTATGGATTAAAGAACTAAACGTGTCTCTAAATTCAAGCCAATTATCATAATTTCCATCAAAGGAGGGTAAAGAAATGGTGGGTAGTTTTATGCATGATTTCTTTGTGGAGCTCGATTTCTCACTTTTATTATTTAAAATACATTTAGCTTTGGCCACAATAGAATAATATTGATTTTCAAAAGATTCTCTGACAAGTAATTCATTCTCTAATTGAAGATCAGATACCTTCATATCAATATCATCTTGAATATCAGAAAATTGTTCAAAAAGCTGTTCGATTTTTTGTATACGAACTTGCAATTCCGATTTTTGCAAATCAGTTAGTGTGGAAATATCAAGTGACTCAACAAATTTCGAAAAAAAAGTGAGCTTGCCCTTTAAAACACCTCGCCTCTTAACTGAATCTTTCACTATTTCCTCATCATCTTCCATCGAATGTTGCTTCCTTTTGGTCATTTTAGTGGTTTATAGGAAACAAAGGTAAAAACTCACGATTATTTCACCGGCACGACGAGCTGCACGAATTGTTCACGTTTGCAGGTAGATTGTACACCGCGTTCACGTATTCGAAAATTTACTGGACTTGATTTAAAATTACGGTATTAGCACCGACGAGCACAGGATTGGGTTTGGATAAAAGGAAATACTGGCCTGACCGTATTGATGCTGGTATTCTTGAGTATCATCCGGCTCGAAGGACCATGTTCTTGCTTGTGAATTTTCAGACTGTATTTCCTTTGTGATTTGTTTTCTTAGGTGGTTTGTGATGTCTGCCGTTAAATTACAAATACTATTGAATTCTTTTTGGTTTTAATGTAAAATAATATTGTACATAATATTGCGCGTCTTGTAGCTGTTGAGTCCCGTTCAGAAGTGAAGGTGGTTGTGTGTGTTCGCGCTGCGGAGCTCGCCGGCCCGCCGGTTTGCCGTCCCCTCCCTCGCCGCGCTGCCTGCGTCTTTCCCGACTTTGCGAAGGAGGAGTTGATGCGTAAACAAATAGCATGAAATTAAATTAGTCAATTCAATTGGCAAAATATTAGTCATTTACAATTTAGAAATCTAAACATAATGTGACTGTCAACACTGAGGTTTGAGATTGACATTTGACAGACTCTTGGCGGGAACATATCGTCCTTTTTCCCTTCCTCTAAGTCTCGGAAATCTAAAGTTTTAGATTTGTATAAATATAAGCAAGACTTATAAATTACTTCGCCAAAGAAGTTTCACTTCTGACATGTGTACTTTGTACGCACGCACTTTTTTCTTTTGTTTGTTTGGTTGTATCGCTTGTATACATACTCGTAGTATGTTAGAAGCTGCACTAAGCGCGCGGGTTTACAGATGCCAAATTGCCACAAGTCCTTTAAATCCTAAATCATGGAATAATTAGAGTGACTCCGTGGAGCAGTAGTTAGCGACCCTGACTGACACGCCGAGGGTCGTGGGTTCGATTCCCGCATCCGGCAAACATTTGTGTGATGAAGAGGTATGTTTGCTCTTTGTCTTGGTGTTTTTTTAGCTACTTATGTATATATTTGAGTATACTTAGTCTGGCCATAAATACTGTTACAATTAAAAATAAACAAAATATTACATTTGAATTTGGAATCTGCCATTTTTATATGATTGCTCATTGAGTTTTCTCACTTTGGCGCCAATACATTGTATAATATTTTGCGATATTAAAATGGAGTTGGGTGATAAAGAGAACCGAATCGCTGTGATTGCATTACAAAAAGTAGGTATGGAGTCAAATGCAAATTTTTAAACCTCTCCATACGTTTGGTATTAGTAAAATGTTTGTGTACCGGGCTATTAATAGGTGCAATGAGACCTCCTCTGTTTGTGACAGAAAAAGATCTGGCCATCCATGTAGTGTTCGTACGAAAAAGGTGGTCAAAGCAGTAAGGGAAATAATTCGAAGAAATCCTGTCCGAAAGCAAAAGATTTTATCTCGGGAGATGAAGATAGCACCTAGAACCATGTCGCGTATTTTAAAAGATGACTTAGGACTTGCAGCCTACCCGGTCGGCGGTGTATCGCGTTCCGACCCGGCAGGCTGGTTCTAGCCCAGCGGGGTATCCCGGAACACCAGCGGCATCGCCTGGGCGGCATGGTAGGGCCGCCGTACCGCGGAGACCGACGTCGTTAGTCGTCGATTATCGCCTCAACGACCTGTCGGTCGGGCGTCTTTGGGGGTGTGCCGCGTGTCTGGTTCTAGTGTTGACCGCGGGAACCCCCCTACTCTGACCGGGTTCTGACCCCGGACGGAGATCGGACGTCAGTTGTAAGAGTGCAGGGGAGTTGTTTAGTGGGTGGGCCTTAAAATCCTTGGGCCCGCGTTCTGCTCTTAACACCTGCAGATCGTTGAGTCTCATATACCCCGCGCGCCCCTTATGCCCGGGGACCTCGTAGGAGGTTTGGTCCCCGGCTCGGAAAAAAGAACTTGCAGCCTATAAGAGACGTACTGGTCATTTCTTAACTGATAATTTAATAGAGAATAGGGTGATAAAATCGAAACAACTAGTGAAGCGGTACGCAAAGGGAGGTCATAGAAAAAAATTGTTTACGGATGAGAAAAATTTTACAATTGAGCAACATCTTAATAAACAAAATGACCGTATTTATGCTCAAAGCTCTAAGGAAGCTTCCCAATTAGTCAACAGAGTGCAACGTGGGCACTATCTGACTTCAGTGATGGTTTGGTGGGGTTTTAGCTATGAAGGAGTGCCTGAGCCATACTTTTGTGAAAAAGGTATCAAAACATCGACATAAATGTATCAAGATACCATTCTTGAGAAGGCAGTGAAGCCCCTTATCAACACCATGTTCAATAATCAAGAATGGTTCTTCCAGGAAGACTCGGCGCCAGGTCATAAAGCTCGGTCTACGCAGTCTTGGTTGGAAACGAACGTTTCGGACTTAATCAGAGCTGAAGACTGGCCGTCATCTAGTCCCGATCTTAATCCGCTAGATTATGATTTATGGTCAGTTTTAGAGAGTACGGCTTGCTCTAAACGCCATGATAATTTGGAGTCCCTAAAACAATTCGTACGATTGGCAGTGAAAAATTTTCACATGGAAAGAGTGCGTGCTTCTATTGATAACTGGCCTCAACGTTTAAAGGACTGTGTTGCAGCCAATGCTTCTTGCGAGCATGCGAGACCACTTCGAATAAACTTTTTATACTTTAAATTGTTTTATATTTATGTATTAAACTAAGACACTGTAAAAATAATAAATGTTATTTACAATAGATTTTTTTTTCCTTTGTAACAGTATTTATGTCGTCGTGGCCTAAAGGATAAGACGTCCGGTGCATTCGTGTTGAAGCGATGCACCGGTGTTCGAATCCCGCAGGCGGGTTTTTCTAATGAAATACGTACTCAACAAATGTTCACGATTGACTTCCACGGTGAAGGAATAACATCGTGTAATAAAAACCAAACCCGCAAAATTATAATTTGCGTAATCACTGGTGGTAGGACCTCTTGTGAGTCCGCACGGGTAGGTACCACCACCCCGCCTATTTCCGCCGTGAAGCAGTAATGCGTTTCGGTTCGAAGGGTGGGGTAGCCGTTGTAACTATACTGGGACCTTAGAACTTATANGCCCATTAACAACCTGTCATCTTCTAAAGCTAAGCAACAAAGAAAGCACAGAAACATTTCATTAAGCCATAAACATTCAGGTAGATGAGCTTTCATGGTCCATATAAAGCATCGTATAAGATAATGGAAACAGTAACAATTTGTATGTAACTACAGTGCTTACGTTTATAGGAAGGATTTTATGGGAACTTTTATTTCCTGTAGTCTGGTCTTGCAGGTGCAACGGGGTAGGGATTTTCCATTGGAGATGATGAATGATGATGGCTACAAAGATAACTTTCCTTTCAGAAAGGACTACTTCGGACGCTAAGCAGTATAGCAGTTTGAAGGGAGAGAAATTTGAGAGCTTAGACCTCATGTCTCAAGGTGGAGGCGACTTTCGTATGGTAACGTATGAGTCCTGGTATATAACATCTAGTCGGCCATTTTCGTTCGTTCACTCTGTCCTGGTGAAACTGGAAAGGCTTCCTAGTAATCCTTCCTACGCAAAAAAAAAATAGTTGTGCATTACATGAATATTATGTAGGTAGGTCAAAAACTAAAAAAATGTTGATTAATAGCTGGCTTATTTGTTATCCCCCGAGTAATTGCCGTCTGCTGACAGTTTCTACTGCAAGCAGTCACGCGTTCTAACTTGACGGGTAAGAGGTCCGTATATTATGACATAGTATCTATATATGAATACGTGAAGCAAAAACTTTGTATCCCTTTTTACGAAAATTGCGCGGACGGAGCAGTTTGAAATTTCCCACACTTATAGAGAATATAGAGAAGGAGTGCAGAATGTAATTTTTTTTTAAACGATGCATAAAAAACACATTTAATCAATAAAAAAACCTTACACACACTACCATGTATTTGACACACGCATGCATACTCTTTGTTTATTGTCAAACTTTTCATATTGCATATGCTTAGTCTGTGGTCAAATTGCGAATAGATTAATTATGATTTGTCTTTATTAATATTTGTCTAAAGTGTAGTCGTGGCGAAATCTGTGATTATAAAATTTGACAATAGAATCATAATAATGTTCAAACTTATAATTTCAATTAATTATAGTCGAATTTCGACTACTGCGGGACCACTAGTTATCTTTAAGAAACATGACCTTTGCAAAAGAACCAATGAACCGCGTGTCACATCTCTTATCACATGTTCAGATTATTGTTATGAATGTAATTGCAACGTAATATTGGAACGTTGTTATGCGCGATGAAGCGATCTATATTGATGACTAGCTGACCCGGCAGACTTCTTAGTGCCTCAATCGATAAATAAAAGACCTAAACTTTTGTATAAAATAAAATTTACTGGTGGTAGGACCTCTTGTGAGTCCGCGCGGGTGGGTACCACCACCTTGCCTATTTCTGCCGTGAATCAGTAATTATGCGTTTCGGTTTGAAGGGTGGGGCAGCCGTTGTAACTATACTTGAGACCTTAGAACTTATATCTCAGGGTGGGTGGCGCATTTACGTTGTAGATGTCTATGGGCTCCAGTAACCACTTAACACCAGGTGGGCTGTGAGCTCGTCAACTCATCTAGCAATAAAAAAAATGTAACCTAACATATGTACGTAGCCGATCTCAGAGAAAAAAAGATGTGTGGTGTCGTGGGACACCGGATATGAACGAAGTTCCTTATTATAAAAATATTAATTTTAAGTTCTATTCGAGGCATAAAGAAAATAAAACTGGAGGTTTCGCAACAACCCACGGTCATTCGGTAAAGTGCGAAAGTGCATAAGAGTTAGTGTATTGCGCAAACGAACGCTCTGAGATCGTGGTCAATGAATGATAAAAAAATATGTTATTTTTTGTACGTTATTACAAAGTTAAGTCGTACGCTATGTGCATTACTAATTTGTACGTAATTACAAAGTTAAGTCGTACACTGTGTGCATTACTAATAAAAATCTTACGTTACGGACTTTTTTCCCGGTTAGGATACCCCTCCGCATCGTTCCATAAGGAACTTTGTTCCAAAAACAAAGATTCTTGGCTCCGTTCAACATATCAACATCCGTGACGCATCTTGTGAGATAAGCCACGAAAAGAACCCAACATTTGGGGGAATATTTCTTTACCCGTATTCAATGGGGACTTTACCTTTCGTATGTAAGGCCTGTATAAATACATCCTTGTCGCAATTGCTAACTACATTCTGAATTAACTAGCTAAACCACAAACAAGTGAGTACACCCTATTTATTAATCTAATTCAACGAATAAGTATTTTAACGTGACCAACATTATCATCATTGTCAGCAGTTTTCAAAAGAAAAAAACTCTGAAGATGCAATTGAAGCTTCATTTAATTATTGATGTGAAACATCTATAGCCGCACGTAAAACCGTGGCGTGGCGACGCATACTGTGGCGACGCGTTGCCACGCTATATTATGGTATATATATACAGTCTATATGCAGTAGTGTGTACGGTGTGGCGACGCGTCGCCATGCGCAATCGACTGTGCGATTCTATCCCACTCGATCCGGCGTTAAGCCATCTCTCTCGCTACACTGAGCTCGGATACCTATAGTGTATACTCCGCAGTGTATACAGTGTTGTTTACTACAGTACACATAACCTGTGTTTTACTTGAAAACAAATAATTTTTTCGTAATATTTTATTTTATCATTCTGACATATTTAGTTCCTATCACAATCTGTTCTTTTCTGCATATTATTTTTACAAAATAATGTCGATGTTTCACATCTGCCAGGCGTCCCGTGACGGCTCACTTTTTTTTTTCATATAATTCTGGCGGACTGGAAGATAATTTGTACTAATACTCTCATTAGAGAGTTAAAAGAATATGCTGTAGACACAATACATCATTGTATATACGTCTTATTGTTTTGGCGATATTAGTTAATCTTTATTATTGTTTTAGCTCAAAATGAATTCCAAATTGCTGTTTTTCATCGCCACAGTCCTGGTGTGTGTAAACGCAGAAGTATACAGGTCTTCTGATTATGAAAAAGAGTGAGTAATTCTTATCACTACTCTCGCATTTCATTACCATGGAAGGGTAAATGCCTATCTTTTAATATATGCAAAAAATGTAACAAATTGTATTTACACTTCAGATACCCCATCAGAGGCCTATTTTCAAAGCGACACCCCCGTGACGTCACGTGGGACACGAGAATGGGAGGAGGGAAGGTCTTCGGCACTTTGGGACAGAACGACGATGGACTATTCGTAAGTATTGAAATAAACCTTTATCCAGTCATTGGACAGGCTTTATCTTCACCTATACTCTTAAAAAGGTTTCCCTGAACACTACAAGAAGATATTTTCAAAATTAAATAAGTAGCAGCAGAGTATGTAATGGTAAGTAGCAGCAGAGTAATGGTACGCAGCAGCATAGGTATATTTTTAGTATGATCGATATTAATGGGAAATGATGTTTTCAATAAGTTCAGTGAACTCTGGTTTTTTAATATTGGAAATTAAAAAGCCTTCACCAAAAGCAAGCCCGTTTCTTGACATTGTTGCATCCAAATAGTTTGAGGGTCCAATAGTAAATCGGGCTTGTCATAAATGGTTGTGGATAGTTTACTTTGAGACATGCAGAGTTATATATCTTGAAGTCCTTAATAAGCTGAAATGAGAGCAATGACTAACAAGCAGAAATCATAGTCGCATAAAATGCATTATCTTTTAGCAATCATCGTTTGATGGATCGTATAGTCATAATTGTGTTTCAGGGTAAAGCCGGTTACAACAGAGAGATTTTCAATGATGACCGCGGTCAGCTAACCGGCCAGGCTTACGGCACCAGGGTCTTAGGACCCGGAGGTGACAGCACTAACTACGGTGGACGTCTGGACTGGGCCAACAAGAACGCACAAGCTGCCATTGACATAAACAGACAAATCGGAGGCAGATCTGGGGTAAGATTTCTGTTATTGCCTTTTTTGGCACAAAACACCACCTTCATAAATGCGCTAGATGTCCTAGCTGCGTTAGAATAACTGCTATGTGCTTACTGGTAAGAGGTTTTTAGTTTAGCGATAAAACAGTAGAGGAAGTAAGGTAGATGAAAACGGTAAATATGAATGATGGGAAGTATAGGAATGAAAGGTTTTTTATTGCTTATATGCTTTTTCAGCTTTTGACTGACGTGGTGTAGTTATCAGAGCCCATAGCCTTCACAGAATGAATGAGGCTATCGACCTTGAGGCATAAGTTTGAGGTTTTCATTTAATTGTGTGACGTTTATCCCATCGTCCAAATCGAAACGCGATGACATGACTATTTCGCGGCGGTAATTGGCAGGATTGTGGTACCTAACAGAGTGTGCTTACATTATTCTTCACTTGTAAACGTCGGTTGATGATCGTAGAATGCTATATGAGTCAGAAAACGTGGCTGCCCATTCTCTGGTGAATCCTTTTGTCTCCTTTCATGATATCCATAAGAAGGGATTGGTACACAGTGGTGCACATTGGTACACAGTCCAAACCTGTACTTTTGCATATTGGCCAAACATGTTGGAGCTCTGGATGAATGGATCTCCATCCTGGATCCTCTGCTTTGATCTTCTATGACAAAGCACAATATATTTTTTTTATTGCTTAGTTGGGTGGACGAGCTCCTTAGGTGGGTGGACGAGCTTCTTAGTTGGGTGGACGAGCTCCTTAGTTCAGTGGACGAGCTCAATAATATCTAGAATCCGTTCATAATTTTGTAGCTCACCGTCTATTCTTAAAAAAGTGAGGCCGTTCGAAGGCTGCTTAATCGTTGTCGATAAATAACCCAAGTCTTGATTCTTATGTTTCTCTTACAGATGACAGCCTCGGGCTCCGGTGTGTGGGATCTTGATAAGAACACCCACATCTCAGCCGGCGGTATGGTCTCGAAGGAATTTGGTCACAGAAGACCAGACGTTGGTCTTCAAGCAGAGATCCGGCATGAGTGGTGATTGTCAACACAATCCCATCATTCATAGAATTATGTTTGTTTGTCTTTCGCCAAAAAAGCTACTATTTGCTTCTGTGTATATTTTGCAATTACTAGTGTAAAATGTTATTTTTGATTGTTTTAAGAAAATGTCAATATTATTAACGAAATATGTCTTACTGATAACTTGTTTTTTTAATGTAACAAACAAACTGTAGACAAACAGTATTTTTCTGTATCTCGTACTTTGTGATAAATTAATTAAATCATCTAGATAATAAATAATAATAATAATAAAAAATGTATAGTTCAATTGTTATTTTTCTTAATTGCGATAGTCGTCATACTTGGCATCAATTAAATTACTCGATAACTTAACAACAATGATGTTCTATAATTGATATAACTATTCCCATCTATAATGAAATAAAACTTTCGTATAAGCTTAGCAGTGGGGGGTTGGATGACCTTGGGCACGAAGGGCCTCAGCTTGCAGCCGAAGCCAACCGAGGGCGCGAGCTTTATACGCACTCGTCTGTTTTTTTGACTAAAATAGATTAAAAGTTTCAACTCATTTAATAGGGATCAGTCGGTTTTGCGGCTTCGGTCGAACTCGCAGAGATTTATCAGCGCAGACCACTCACACGAGTGAGTTCAGGGGATTGCGAAAGCTTTTCACGCAGCTTTTCCGAACTTTCGTAGTTCACATTTATTTTTGTGCGAGTCTTTTTTTTTTTTTTGGAATCACATTTTTAAAACAACGGCCGGACTTTTTATTACTTTGAAACTGCATTGTGAAGTGGCCCGAAAGTTTGAGAAACTGCGTGATGCTAAATTACCAGAGACAAAAGAGTTGGGTATCTTTACCAAATAAAAGTTTTAACGCTTCTCAAAATTTTTCAGTTTCAATGCTATTTCATACACTTAATGATACTTCTTCTTCTTCTCGCTTCGGTTTCCTCAATACTGTGGGTCGTGACCACCTCCTCGCAACAAGAGCTAATTTTGGACCATTCCAAAATAGTGAAAAACTGTCTAGAAATGGAACTGTCTAGAATGACTGGAAAACAAATCACATAAACAAAAATCTAGAATATTGCTATGAAATTGCTCTGTAAATATCAGACCACGATCTAAGAAATTACGTTACTCTTTTAAAATGCACTATAAAATTGAATTGAAGCGATTCGCAAACACGCGATGCGCTCCCACTTCGATAGGAGTGGTACTAGTCCCGGGTATTCGTATGTTCTTGCCATATTTGTATATGGTAAAGAAGATCTAAGTCGTCGTGGCCTAAAAGATAAGACGTCCGGTGCATTCGTGTTGAAGCGAAGCACCGGTGTTCGAATCCCGCAGGCGGGTACCAATTTTTCTAATGAAATACGTACTCAACAAATGTTCACGAATGACTTCCACGGTGAAGGAATAACATCGTGTAATAAAAGTGAAACCCGCAAAATTATAATTTGCATAATTACTGGTGGTAGGACCTGTTGTGAGTCCGCGCGGGTAGGTACCACCGCCCTGCCTATTTCTGCCGTGAAGCAGTAATGCGTTTCGGTTTGAAGGATGGGGCAGCCGTTGTAACTATACTGAGACCTTACAACTTATATCTCAAGGTGGGTGGCGCATTTACGTTGTAGATGTCTATGGACTCCAGTAACCACTTAACATCAGGTGGGCTGTGAGCTCGTCCACCCATCTAAGCAATAAAAAAAAATTTCAAAAATAGTATAAAGTACATAGTCTTTATTACTTTATTATTTTATCTATTTAGTACAGAAAATAGTTTTTATATTAATTATTTTTGACATCAATTCACTTCGACTGGTCTTTCTTCGTGAGTAAAAGTGACTTTTTTTGTTCGTTTGTAAACAATTAACATTTTATATTATTATCAATAGATGATCTTTTACTGGTAGATCACAGTGCGGTCATGTACATTTACGATTATCTGTAGATACTAACAGATTCATTAGGGTTAAAATCAGACCTATGAAGCTTGAAATTTTAGTAGACTTTTATGTAGAAGGTATCCTATCAGAAGGTTCTTTGGGAGTTCCAAGACTAGAGATAAAATAAAAGACGAACGATTGTAACGGTGCCTTTAGGTACTACAAGCACTAGTCACCGTCCTCGCCGAACCCGTCGCTTGCGACGAAGGGCTCGACGAGCGAATTAAGCCACAGACACAGCCCACTGAACTTCTCACCGGATCTTCTCAGTGGGTCGCGTTTCCGATCCGGTGGTAGATTCTACGAAGCACTGCTCTTGCTAGGGCCAGTGTTAGTAACACTCCGGTTTGAGCCCCGTGAGCTCGTCTACACGTTAGGGTGAAGCTGATATAGCCACTCAAGGCTATCAGTATAGGTAGGACTTCAAAAAATAAGAAACGCGTTATTTCATACACACTACACCAGTACCCAGATATTGCTGTTTGCTTTTTCCCCCAAAAGTGTTAGTTTTTTTATTGCCTTTCTAGGCGGACGAGCATACGACCTACCTGATGGTAAGCGATTATCGTTGCTTGCAGCGAAGTTGCTGCCTACCAAAGTGTAGAAGCTTAAGATTTCAATCTGAATTATTGTTTTTTTCCGTCCTTTTTGTGTTAATAAGACATTCATTCGATTGTAATAAATAAATAATAAAATAAAATAAACATAAAAGAAACATGTGTGCAATTCAAACGTGTTAGAAGTAAAACCTTCAAAAATTACAATACAATTATCCTAAATGTTTAAATATATGTAAAACTTTGTCATTAGTAAATAATTGTAAATCATCTTTTATAGTATGAGGTAGCGCCCTCTGCGAATCGATATTTTAACGTCACGTATAATCCTAAATTGAAATTCACTACCAGAGGTTTCATACGCACGTTAGTATTAAAAAATCTCATAGATGGCGCTGTATTAAAATTTTTCGACACTTCCGTTGCATACCTGCGTGACGTTACATATGTAAAAATTTTACCCTCATGCGCCTAAAGAAGTTTCACTTCAAAAAGGCATTCATTCGGTTGTAATTAAACTATAATCTGATTACAATTGAGTATCTATAGTAATATCGATGTGCGATAAGTGAAGTGCGGGTATTTTTAAAAACTCTACGTATTTCATACAATTGAATGGTAGTTGTCTTCCGTATAAAATTATTTTCATTCAGCTCTCAATCTGTACGTTTACTGGTCCAATATTTATTATTTCCACTGCTGGCCCGATCTCCGCTCCGATTCAGACGTTGATTCTGAGCGAACGGACACAGTCTGTTATAGAAATGTATTGATTTGTAAGTGGAAAAGTGAATTACGTCGATTTAGCTTTCGTCGTAGCTTCGGGACATATAAGGAGCATAAATGGCAGCTTTATATATTATTTATTTTGTCTCGTAGCGTTTGAGGAAAGATTAGAGCAACTAAGTTAATAAGAAGCTGATCTTTATAAAGTACTAGTTGACCCGGCAAACATTGTTTTGCCATATATAAGATTTCTAACGAATTTCTAGCGTAGAAAAAAAAACTAACTTATTGTAAGTGTGTAAGGATGTGGTAAATGAGTGAAAGAGGTATGTAGTGCTGTGAACGATGAGGGAATATATAATAAAAATAACAAAACCTCATTCAACCACATAATACCTCATTATAACAAAAAAAATGTCCAAATAAAAAAAAATTATGTTAGGGGTGGACAACCTTAATCACTTAGGGGTATGAAAAATAGATAGTAGCCGTTTCTCAGGCTTACTGAATATGCATAAAAAATTTCATAAGAATCGATCAAGCGGTTTCGGAGGGGTATGGGAACGAACATTGTGACACGAGAATTTTATATATTAGATATTGAATGCGAAGTTCCAAAACTGATCAAATTTATAAATCAGGGATTTTACTACATATTTTATATTCGCGTAATATTTTGGGTGGACAGTAAGAGTGAGTTAGTTTCGAGATTTATAATTATTATTTTTTGTATTCGTATTGTTTTTGTCTTGTAATCTTTTATTCGACTAAATGGTAATTTTATTTAAGAGCCGGTAACACTGATGCAGTTGCGCCTGTCATGGCGGACTAGCGTCGTAGTCATTCATACCATTAGGTCAACATCATTTATTATTCTTTTAATCCCTCATTCTTTAAGTAATTTATGTAGCTATATAAATAAAATAATCTAAATTCAACACTACGGTGTAAATATTTCAACATTACCTGAACTTCCTTCGAAGTCATCGTGGCCTAACGGATAAGACGTCCGGTGCATTCGTGTTGAGCGATGCACCGATGTTCGAATCTCAGGCGGGTACCAATTTTTCTAATGAAACACGTACTCAACAAATGTTCACGATTGATTTCCACGGTGAAGGAATAACATCGTGTAATAAAAATGAAACCCGCAAAATTATAATTTGCGTAATTACTGGTGGTAGGACCTCTTGTGAGTCCGCGCGGGTGGGTACCACCACCCTGCCTATTTCTGCCGTGAAGCAGTAATGCGTTTCGGTTTGAAGGGTGGGGCAGCCGTTGTAACTATACGTGAGACCATAGAACTTATATCTCAAGGTGGGTGGCGCATTTACGTTGTGGATGTCTATGGGCTCCAGTAACCACTTAACACCAGGTGGGCTGTGAGCTCGTCCACCCATCTCAGCAATAAAAAAAAAAAAAAACTTAAATGCCCCCCCAGACTCCTGTAGTGACTTGATTCAACAATAATATGCGACAGTCCGGCCTACCGAAGCTCCTATATATATCAATTGAGAGCATCGATTTCATAAGTAATGCATATGAACGCTATGGAGCTTATAATAGAACGCTCCACGAGGAGCTTAAAGGAGATTTGAAAGCTATCTCCGAGCACACAGCTTAAAATGGCCATTGTTGGAATCCGGATAAATCAATACATTGAGCAGTGAACGGAAGTGATAAGCTAATTTGAGCTTTGTTAAGCTCAAAATGAAGCAAAGCTTGAATTGCTTTCGATTGGTCACGCAATGGACACGAAACTATTTTTGGTTTCCCCTACT